GCACTCGCCTTTTGTTGTAAATCCTGTTCCCAGTGTCCTTCCTAATTCCATTACAGTGGCTGCTGCTGCCAAAGGTCCCTTTGTTCCTCCAGATGATCTGTTGAGAATTAAAGGGGAAATTGGATGGAAGGGATCGGCTGCCACTAGCGCATTTCGGCCGGCTGAACCCAGGAAGGTTCCTGAAATACCATTCGAGACAACAAGCATGACTTTCTCTGTTGCCTCTACTGGTAAACATGGCCGCACGCCCTTGGATTTTGACCTGAATGTGCCAGATGAAAGAGTTCTTGAGGAAATGGCTTCGCGAGGTTCTGATTTTGCTGTTGGTTCATCATCTGGTTATGCAAGCAATCGTCATATTGTGCAGAATGCCAACACAGGTTCTATGCCATTTCTTCGCTCGGGAGGGCTGGATCTTGATTTGAATAGAGTTGACGTATCAAATGATAATGGGCAGTGCTCCGCTAGTGGTAATCATAAAGTGGAGGGTCCCATTGTATCTGTTCAGCCATTAGGTGGTTTACCTACTCGTAATAGAATGGATTTTGATCTCAATGATGGGCCTGGGGTTGATGATGCCAGTGGTGAACAGCTTTTAATCAACCAGCAGGGCAAGGGTGGTATAGCATCTCAGCTGCTGCCTACTGCTGGCCTTAGAATGAATAATTCTGAACTGGGGAATTTCTCATCTTGGTTTTCACCTGCAAATACTTACTCTACTGTGAAAATTCCATCAATATTACCTGACCGAGGGGACCATCCCTTTCCCATCGTTCCATCTGGTGCACCACAGAGAATGTTTTCTCCTGTTGATACCCCATTTACTCGTGATATTCACCGGGGATCAGTGTTGTCATCATCTCCAGCAGTGCCTTTTCAGCCTGGTCCTTTCCAGTACCCTGGTTTTCCTTTCAGAACTGCTGTTCCTCTCCAATCAGCTGCTTTTCCAGTTGGGGCAACCGCGTATATGGATTCATCGCCTGGTGGAAGGCTATTTACGCCTCATGTCAATTCACAGTTACTGGCACCTGCTGATGCTGTCTCGTCCCAATTTCAGAGGCCTTGTGTATTCAGCCTTCCCGACGGTAGCAGTAACTGGGCGATGGAGAACAGAAAGTGGGGCAAACAGGCACTGGATCTCAATGCTGGCCCTGGAGCCATGGACGCAGAAGGAAAAGACGACATGTTGAGGCAACTTTCTGTTGCCAAAACACAAGTGCTCACGGAGGAGCAAGCGAGGTTATTATCAATTTCAGGTGGCATTTTGAAGAGGAAGGACCCCGAGGGAGGGCGGGATAATGAGAGCTTCAGGTACAAGCAATCTTCATGTCAATAGGATTGTATACTACTGCATATAGCAACTGTTAGTCCTGTAAGTGTTTTTTCATCTCATCGTGTAATAAAAATAGATGATGTTGGGATAAACTAGCTTCGTTGTGTATGACTGAAAAATCTTTCTTTTTAGTGGAGGAATCTTGATTGTTTTTCTCTTGAACAAGATACCATAAAAATCCATAAACGATATGAGCATCAGTTTTTTGTTTGAGAATTACGTCGATTTCATGAATTGCAGAAGAAAATCTGCTTGTCATTTA